AGGCTAGGTGTGGGAAGTAATTTCAGGCCATTTTGGCAATAAGACATACAAAGTAAACTGTGTGCGCCCACTGAGGAGTCTGTAGTTGTTTTCTGTTTGAGTCAATAAATTTCTCCACATTGATCGAGCTCAGCTGGATTACACTGCTCTTAGTGCCTCAGACTGAGCAAGGCATGATGAGATTGTCCACCCTAATTTTGGCAATTGCTGCATTTTGATTGTCCCTTTTTGTGGTATCGTTCATTGTCTTTACTCACCTTTTTTCCCTCCACCACTTAGTGAATTTTTCTTTTCCCTACCTGAAGCTGCCTGTTACTTAAGCCACACCTGCTTCTCCCCACTCACTATGTCCCCTGAAACTTTGTGATCTTCTGTACCAATCTTCCCATCCCCCTTCTCTGATTTGCCATTTCTGAACATTATTGTAGATCATCTGTTCCCATCCGGCCTGAAATGTGTTCTGTTGGCAGAAGGACAGGGCAGCTTTACTGAATGTGCTCAGGTTGCCTAAGATTGCTTGATAACAAAGAAATAGGCAATTTCTGATATGTAATGCTTTCAGTTGTTAAGCCTGGGACAGCTGTGGGGCAGAAAAGTCCTTCCTCAAGGCACATTCCCTTTTATTTATCACTAGCCCAAAACACAGTCTTTCCAAGGTACCAATGAATCTGGTTTGCTTTTACTACAACCTCAGTGCAATTTGGCACAGTCTTACTTACACATTATAAATAAGTAAATAGATTACTGTATTTATTTGCTTTTATTTACAAGATACAAATTCATTACCAGGCACAGAAAAATTCTTTATGTTTTAGAGCTATAGACAGGAAAAGACAATGAAGTACATCTTATTATATTCAGTATTTTTATATTGAAGGCTATTGCTGTTTCTTCCTGATATTTTTGCTTGCAATAACAGGGTAAAAATGTTTTACTACACAAATCATATACTTTAGCACAGTGTTTTGAAATTATAATTACCTGTATAAAAGAGACTTTCAGTCAGTCTATGTAGGCAGCTGAAACTGGTTTGAATGCATGCAGCTAATGGTGACAGCAATTTGCATGCGAGAAGGTTTAATGTAGTCTGGGCACTGTTTATTTCAGTTATGCTTTTATAAATGTTGGACAAGAGGAATGAAAAAATGTTACAATAAATGGTGTAGAGAATCAAAACCTCAATGCTTAAGGCACCCTTTTTTAGGATTCTAGAGTCAGTTATCTAACAAACTTGTTTTTTAATGATATGTGGCACTCTTAATTCCCTTTAAAACCAAAACAACCTACCCTAAGCTGGTCTTTTCTCAGTCTTTTAGTAATAACAATTATTGGTAATAAGTTAATACTCCTATGGACATCAATGGGAGGACAGAGTGAGAGGAAATATTAGGACTGTAGACAAATAAATGTCTTGTATAATTATTCCATTTTTGAAATCTTGCATTGAAATAAGTAGGTTAAGCTTTTCAACACTAATAGCTAATACAGCCTCCACCATAAAGCTTCCTTCATCTGAAGTCATCAGACGATGAAATTCCCTATCCCTGTTTAGCGAGGAGAGGAAGCCACTTGCTGTAAAATGTCTGAGGTGAACTTGTATCTCTTTACTTGTAAAGTGTATCTCTTGCACGGACAGCTGAGAAAGTGCATAATATTATAGTCCTTCTGTGTTTAATTGTTTCTGTATGCCCTGGAATTTAAAGAGAATTTAGGATGTGTTTGGCGGTAGCTTTCCCTCTATAATCAGGTTGCTATGGCAAACCTATTATTTTAGACAGAGTATGTTTAGTAAAGTGCTGATCCCTTTCCAGTACAATGTGAGCTTCAAATTACTTTTGAATGATTGAATTTGTATGGTAAGTATTTTATCACAACAGCTAAGAGAGTAAGGGCACAGAATAAGGTGTGGCTTCTGTTATTTCCATAGCAGATAGATCTCATGAAGTAGTAACATGGCTGAAACAAGCTTATCCTGGAAATACCTTATTCTGGTTTTCCCAAGGAAGCAGCCTGAAATTTATTCTTACACAATGCTATTAATTTTTGTGTTTATCTATATGGTGATAAACTGAGCCTTTGCTGTTTACATTTGCTACATCCCATGTTGTTAGCTGTTCAGAAGCAATAGGACTTGAATTCTCAAATTCTCTCCAAAGAGTGAGCCCACCTGGCATAACCTAACCAAAATCTCAGTACTTTTGGAGGTAAAGTATACTTTTTAAGCCAGTAAAAAGTTGTGATTATTTAGTGCCACTGCTAAATTCACTTCTTATGTTCCTAGTGCTGATCTGTCACGTTTGTAAAAGCAAAGGAATGATGAACTAATAATTTGAGCATCATTTTCGGAAGCAGCATACTAAATGACTACAAATGTATCTTTGAATATTTAAAATCAAGAAATAGCTCAGAGAAACCCTTTTCCAGAGCACTTACTGGCTGAGGTTTCTGTACATTTTCAGTTCTGCTGAGGTCCACAGTCAGATGATCTAAATCATGATCAAATTGGTGGGAGTGAGCCAAAATAAAATACAAGGCACAAATATTAACAAGGAATATGGGATTTTTTAAAATACATGTTGGTGGTTTATTCATTAGCTAAGATGAGAAGGTTAAGGAAGTAGGGCCTAAATCCCCTTTGTGCTTGATTTTGGGAAGAAAACCTGAGCTTGCATCTCTTACATGACAAAAATGTGCTCTATCTGCCTAGGGATGGGATATTCCTCAGTTCTTTCTGCTAGTAAAACTGATGCACATTAACTGAAATGAATAAATATTAATTGCAGCAGGGACTGAGAAGAACCTGTTCCCATTCCAGTGCAAGTGCCCAGCCACTGGGCTCTCAGGTCATTCTGACTTATTAAATTAAGCATTACAAAATGTAATGCTTAATTACTGAACATGCAGGAACCTCATTATGGAACCTTCCTTTGCTCATCCCTCTGGAGGATTTTCCATCTCTGCTGACTCCTCTGTTCAAAGCAACTTGCTTAAACTGATTTTATTGTCCTTCAGGCATCGTCCTTATTATAGCATTATCTGGCCAGGGCACCACTGTTAAAGATGGTTCTTCTGTTTATTTTATAGAGACTTCACCACAGATGGGTCCTGTTCACCAGGTACTTATCTGCCTAAGGGTGACTGTGCTTTGGGACACTGCGATGTGACATTTTTGCAAAAGTAGCCAGGTTGTCTAAGGTGTCTAATAGAAAGAGACTGTGAGAGCTCCAAATACTGACAAGTTGGGCTTATTAAAAGACTCTGGTTTTTTTTCCAGTTTCTAATGTAGCTGTCCTTGGCAAATACTTATAGCTTAGAGAATGCAGGCAAATAACATAATTCTGTAGATAATCATAGCTTAACTGTTGACATGATTGACAAATACAACTGGATTTCATGATGTGGTAGATGCATTTCCTATAATAAGTTTCTTTCTGGAACGATTATCCTCATATAATTGCCAATGCATCATGGTTTTACAACGATGTATATTACAAAGGTATTGTGATATATTTGTTGTTAATTATCTCTATCAACATGTCTTTTTTTTAAGATTCTTGATCATAACATGTCCTTCCAGATTGAATCCTGGCTCATAGGATGTCAGCTCAAAAGTGCTGACATTGATGCTTGGGAAAATGAAGAATATGGCAGCTGTAAAATGAGCTCGGATTTTTTTCCACAAGTAATAAGATGTCCCCCATTCCAACTTATTTAGACCAAGATTTTTTGAAAAACAATTGTAACAACTTTAGGTTATAAGTAGAAAAAAATCATAGATTAAGAATGGTCTGGCGGCAAGTTCACCTAAAAGGGTTTATTGTCACAAAACCAACAGTTAGAAAAGACCCATTAAGGATCTTAGTCTTTTCCCACACAGAAAAACAATTCAAATGCTAAAAAATCTATTGTCTGTGTTGCACTGTTTGGTTGGGCAATGAAAGTCTGCACTTGGATGATCTTTTTGCTTTGTAGCTATAGTTGTCCTGCTCTAAATTTGGGTTCTGCAGTCAGTAGAGCAGTTTCCAGGCCGAGACCGAGTCTCACTGATGATGTGATTAAACTAGAACAAGAGGAACCGGCTTTACTGCATGTAAATCCATGTCTCTGGTGGCCCTTTTTTACACACAATATCCCTTCCCAAGCCAATCAAATGTATTACTTTGATCCATGGTTTGTGTCATATTTAGTGCATTCTCACAGTAGCATTGCATTAGAACAATTTTTAAAATGCAGAGGCAAACTCTTAGAAGTTAAACAATAACAAAACCCATGTTACCCCAAATTGAGTTTGTCTCATACGTGTACAACATAAGACAGTCTTTGATATTATTTTTTTTTTTCCCATATGACCATTTAATACTCATTCCTCTGAGGACTTTGGACTGTAAGATCTGTGGGTGTTTGGACGAGTCTATTCCCCCTTTAAGCTCTGGGGAGTTCTCTGTGAACAGGTTGATGGAAGGGAAGACTCTTACAGAGGTTATGCTGTTGATTTTTATTTTCCTACATCTATACAAGAAAAGTTCCAGGGATTTTTGCTTTCGAAATGCCTGATGGAGGATTTGAAGAGTTATGTTTCTGCATGAATAGAGGCTATCTTAGATAGCCCTGTGTATTGAATATTTAATTCTAATCACATTAATTTTGGAGTTTCTGAAGTATGTGCTAGATATTTTAGATCAATTATAGAGGTTAATTATGCAGTTAAATGTGTGCCATATCTCTGTTACGCAAAGTTAAGATATGAAAAACATACATTGCCAATGATTGTTTTTGTTGCTGTTTCCACCAAGATATAACAGTGATATACTTTGCTTTTGGTTGCCATGGAGGAGAGAGAGTTTGGGGTTTTTTTTAATAGTGTTTATGTGCATAATTTAATTATTACAGAGTTACTTGTAGTTTGTCTCTGGGGGATAGGGTGGAGAGTAAGTTTGGGGGTTATTTAATTTATTTCACTTTACTGAAATCATGAATCTAACAATTGTTTATTTTTACAGGAAGATGTGAATGTGGCCAATGCACTTGTTTCCCTCCAGGAGACAGCAGAGTTTATGGCAAAAACTGTGAATGTGATGATCGACAGTGTGAAAATGTGGATGGTGATGTCTGTGGGGGTATGTGTTCACAAAATAATATAATAAATATCATATCATAATTAATATAAATCTTGACAGTGTATAACTTGCTGTTCCCCCTGATATTATAACATCCTGTTAGTGTAGACTGTTGACATAACTGATTAATTATAGAACATAGATTTTTTTGTAAAAAACAGGGTTTATAATATTGAATATGCTAGTGGGTATTTATTTTAAAATTGCAGAAACACTAACAATGAAATATATTAAATATACCTAATAGCATAAATGCAAGTGCTGTAGTATATCCCAGATTCCATCAGTGCTCATTAGAGAAGAATACAGGTCCTTAAAGGAAAACCTGAAGAATTAGTTAATTTTACTTTGTGTTTAGTATGGTTGATGATTTACTGAGAATGCTGGATTTTACCTAAAGGTAATAATGGCCAGAAATACTGTTGAATATTTCACATGCTCTGTCAGTGATGTCTGTTTTCTAAAAAAAATAGTAATAATAATCATGAAAGAATCTAAAATGTTTGAGATACATTCTCATAGTAATTGTACATGCAGATGGTTTAATTTAATGTTGACAGTGAAAACCTCACTTTTTGATCTTTCAGTAATGTATGTTGGTGTTAAGCAGTATTTCAAGTTAGTTTTAGATATGTAAATGCCTACATACGATATGTTATTTTAAAAGCAGGTGGGTACAATTTGTCCTAAATGCTCTTCCTAGATTTTATTGTCTTTATTTTTTTAAATGGCTCTTTGATTCTTAGAATTAACAGAGTAGTTATGAACAGTGACACATTATATTATATACTTTATTTCTATGTAAGAAAAAATATATTGCATAAAAAATTCTGACTACAGGGAGTATTTCTTCAAGGTCTCTGCCATTCAGAATGTAGACATATATGGAAAATTCTAATTTGAATTTCTAACCAGCCATCATAATAGTTCATAATATTCAATAATATGAATATGTAGAAATAAAAAAAAATTATATTTAATTTTGTATAAATAACATAAAAGCACTGAAAATCTGGGTCTTATTTGTTATAAATTAAGTAGGTAGGAACCAAAATTCATCATCTTCTATAGTTAAAATATCTCCTCAATTTATGTCATTGATATTCTATGTTATTTGATGACACTCCTTCAGTGTTAATACTCCTAATTATATTGCACATTTTGGAAATTATAGACAAAAATTCTATTCTTCTTTGTTTGGAAAGATACAGTGATAATTTTAGTTTTGTTGCTGGCTACAGTACCTCACACTTAAATGAATAATCACTTCAACCTTGAGCTATTGTTTAATGTTCTACTGTGCAGGGGATACTCTAGGTCACACTATTACTTGTATAAACTCCCCCCTTTAGTCTGAATAGTTTTGTCCAAAGAGATTGACAGAAATTTAAAAAAAAAATATGCTTTAAGATTATCTTCCCACTTTGGGAACAACAAATAGAAAGGGAAGCCAGCTTATGAACTTATGAATCAACTGTGGTCTCAAACTCAACTTTTCCACTTTCATTCAAGCTGATAGTTTGTTCACTAATGACTCTCTGTAGGTGAAAGGAATTACAGGGGAAAATGCAGTTCATGTGACTGAGCCCTGTTTGAAATTGTTCTGTGCAACATCTGTTGACAGGACCTCAGAAGGCCCGCCCTGTTATTTTTCCTGCTCCAGGGAGCTGATCTTATTCCTAATTCTTTCCCCAAAATTGTAGAGTAAGTGCCAAATCAGGAATCCTGTTGTCATGGGCATTCTTGTAAGTAAAGGGAGAGGAGAAAGCATGGCATAAGGTGATGATTAAATCCACCAGGATATGAGCTGACCTCTGAAGTGCCTCATTGGAAACTAGAGCAGCTTTGCTTGCTCACAGCTATTGGAACTTGATGAGGTGAAGCTGGTTCCTACAGTTTTAGTCTTCCAAATGAGAAGTTATGCCATGACTAATACCACCCCCTAAAAGTGGTTGGGTTTCTGTAGCAGATCTGTTGGGATTCCAGCGGTAAATAATTGGCAGATTATTTTTTTCATATTCTCGCTATTTTATTTCTTGATCTATTATATTTCTCAACATAATGTGAAATGGTTTTAGATTATTTATTTATAATTTAGATTACTGTTCAATGTCTGATGTTTTACTTGGCTATGACTTTCTATCCTGATAACATTTTGAATGTTCCCTTTGATATCCAGTATTTCTCATATGTCCCTTTTTAGGAGATTCTACCAATTTCAAATTTATGTTCTTTACCCTTTTGCAACTTATTATTCCCAGAACTTCTCTCATTGATTTTGCACTAACGGCGCACAGCTCTCTTCCTTTAAGGTTTGTCCATGCTTTCATACCAGCTTGAACCTCTTGATACCTCTTGTTAAACTGTTTATTCCTTCCTCTTTCCTACTTTTTATTATTATTTTTCTACCACTGTTGCTACGTGGGCAATCACTGTCAGGACATGAGCCCTGTCTAGTAGCTCTCACTGCAGAGAATTTGAAGCTGGACTCTGAATGTTCAGGGTCTTACAGTGAGCACTGAGTGCGTGTAAAGCATAGGGAAGGAAGAGCAGTGTTCTCAGATTAAATGCATGCTGAAATGAGAAATGTGAATGACAGCCTAAATGATTAGAATAAGAATTGTTACTGGCCTCCTCTGACCAGCAGAGATTGATTAATAGCTTGCTTTCCAGACCAGCTGTCCATGCGATGGTAGAAAGACATGAGGTGCAAGATATGATAAATTAGGGTACAACCCTATTACCATGTTTCTGCATGATTGTAGTGAGTCATTCACTTAAAAATTCAGCTGTCCATCATTGCAATACCAGGAATAGAGACATTATGTCTCCAAGAAGAGGGGTTGCAGGAGGACTCGACATAGATTCCACAGCACTCTGCTATTACAAATATATTCATAGAATCACAGAATGGTTTGGGTTGGAAGGGAGCTTAAAGATCATCTAGTTCCAACTCCCCTGCCATGGGCAGGGACACCTTCCACCAGACCAGGTTACTCAAAGCCTCATCCAGCCTGGCCTTGAACACTTCCAGGGATGGGGCATCCACAGCTTCTCTGGGCAACATGTTCCAGTGCCTCACCACTCTCTCTGTGAAGAATTTCTTCCTGATATCTTAATCTAAACCTACCCATTTTCAATTCAGACCCATTGCACCTTGTCCTGTCACTACAGGCCATTGTAAAAAGTCCCCCTCCTTCTTTCTTGAAGGGCCTTTCAGGTACTGGAAGGTGCTATAAGGTCTCCCTGGAGCCTTCTCTTCTCCAGACTGAACAAACCCAATTCTCTCAACCTTTCTTCATAGGAGAGGTGCTCCAGCCCTCTGATCATCTTCGTGGCCTCCTCTGGACTCGTTCTAACTGGTCTATATCCTTCTTATGTTGAGGGCCCCACAGCTGGACGCAGTACTCCAGGTGGGTGGTCTCACAAGAGTGA